CAAAAGTAGGCAACTCATAATACAGGGTCAGATTTAAAACCGAGAGTCCCATTGAAATGGGCTAAGTTGGCCACTCTAATAATACAATACTAATACGAGAGAGAAATGCGTTACACTCTTAAAGGATATCACATGTGGAATCTCTGTAGCTGTGGGTGAAGGTATGCATCCTATGAATAACGAAAACATAACAAATGTGCTTGTCTAATTTCATTCATTCAATGAACTCAAACTGGATACCGGAGACAAGTAAGGCATTTCTGAGTTTAAATAAGTTAACAGCCATGAAAACTGGACAAAGTAGAAGGAGGGAGATTAATTGTTTCTTGTTGTTGGGGTTCTTTCTTTGGAGTGGGGGTGGCTGGGGGATTCTTCCAGGGGTTGGTAAGTTGAAAGACAATCAGAGCCGGGGTCCGATCAACTTGATTCAATTTTTGTCTCCATAAAAATCTGCACGGGCTGTGTCCTAGAGATGGGGAGCACAAGGATCGCCAGGGAACTTATTAGAAATGCAGAACTCCAGGCCTTTCCCCAGACATGCTGAAACAGAGTCTGTGTCTTAACACGATCCCTGGGTTCGCTCCAGCGCTTAGCGTGCGAACTCTTCCATTGCTCACGAGCCCATTGAAACAGAGTCTGTGTCTTAACATGATCCCTGGGTTCACACCAGTGCTTGGCGTGCGAACTCTTCCATTGCTCACGAGCCCAATGAAACAGAGTCTGTGTCTTAACATGATCCCTGGGTTCACACCAGCGCTTGGCGTGCGAACTCTTCCATTGCTCGCGAGCCCAACTGAACCCCATCTTCCTGGTCTGCAAGGCAGAAGCCACAGGCTGTGCTGCAGGTATTGCATGATGTCACTCAGCTCCTGGGTGACACAGCTGTGCACCTGCAAGGGTGCTGGGCCACTGAGCAGGAGCCCAAAAGCAAGTATTTTCTCCCTTTTCTCAGCATCACTTGCCTCTGAAAAATATAATTCTACAGTCTTGTTCCCCTCAATGTCTTTTTGCTGGCCTCGCTACTTACACCAGAAGGGCTTTCTCCTCCCTGTGATCTTCCTTCTATCTCTTCAAGTCTCAAAAACACATTAAAAAATCAAAGATCCATGAGATTGATGGGACGAAGGAAATCGCTGTTCAAACTCCCCTGTGAAGACAGAAATTTAAGTCCCAGAACTGCTCAGTCCATATGTTCTCACTCACGTGCTAACTTGTAGGTGCCACAGAGATACAGATGCTTGATAGATGCTCTCTGGTTGCTGGGTGAGTAAATGAATGAGGCTCTGTGAACACCAGTGCAATCTATTCTTTGTCCAAACCTCACTTGTTTTCTTTATGACTCATCCTGTCCTTTTATTTTTCCATTAAAAGCAAGCAACTGGTATATTTCATGTTGCTCGTGGCCATGGCCTCTCCTACCCAAGACACAGGCCCACGGTGAGCATATGAATATGAGCACTGGCCAACCTGCAGCCCCAGATTCCCACGGTGCACTCACTCCACTTCTTCAGGAAGGACACAAGAGTCGGGCAGGAAGAGGCAAGGAAAGTCTTCATGGGATCCCATGCAGGTTAGGGCAGCTCAGTCATGCTTTTCATAGGGAAATGCCTGGGAGGCTTCATGTAAGAAGTTCCTCCAATAATCAAACACTCTACTGAAAGGTTATATTTACACAGCTCATTAGGAAAATTTTTTTATGCTTTTGACACTCATTAGACTTGTAATCGTCCACCGAAGCTACTCTATAACAAGAGATAAACACTCCATTCTGGAGGATGAATAATAATTAGGTATTGCTCAGCACTGTGCTCTTTGCAGGTCTAATTTTAGAGCATAATTAATCCTGCTGAAACTGCATAAGATAAGTGAAATATTTATGCAGCTGCGTTAATTCATGTATTTACTCCTAGAGAGACATTCAGAATTGGACATGGCTTTCCGGGAAGATTATCTTAAGATGCCCCCTGGAGCAACACCATTTTCTCTCCCGTGTCTTTGCCTCCACATGGCTTCCAAAGATGGAGCTGAGACATGCTCCCCAATCCCAACAGTCTGACCAAGAAAGCAATGAGCCAGCACAGAACCCATCTATGAGAATCGAGGGGTTCTCTAGAACACTCGACTGATTTTACTTTAATTTATCACAAGAAGGAAATTCTCCATTCAGCTCCACAAAGGTTGTGTCCATGATATTAACTTGACCATAGTATTGCCAATGTGATATTAACTAAGCCTGGCTGAATACTAGAGCTAAGGATGGACAATGATGATGTGATGAGGAGGAGGAGGATGACGCATTGTTGCAGATAAGGGTGCTGGTGTTGATGATGATGGTGAGGGCAGGCAGTGGTGGCAGCGTGGTGATGATACTGGCAATGATGTGACCGTGGTGACAATCAGCGGCTCATATGGTAATGATATGAGCATCATGGTGACAATGGTGATGACTGTGATTGGATTGGTGGTGACAGTGGTGGTGTTCGTAATGGCAGTTGTGATGCAGTGGTGGTGTTGATGAGAGGTGTGATGCAGTTGTTGTTGGTGGTGGTGATTTATGGAATCATTTCTATGTTGTAGCACTGTGCTAAGATAATCTCTACCAGCATTCTCTCACTTTATTGTTACGCCAAGGATATCAGGCAAATATTTCTGTATTCATTCACACCTGAGTAAACTAAGGCTATGAAAGGTAAGCACAGAAGTATTTATAATGGGGCAATCGATTAGCTAAGACCGGCACTAATTGTTCCTTCTTCTTACAGGTCTATAAATCTCAAGTTCCTCCTCAGCCAATGTTGATACACATCTCTGAGGATCCAGTGAAAAAGGAGTCTTACTAAATTGACCCCTTAACTAAAGGCTTTGCCCCTGACTAGCTAAGGGACTCAAACTCACTCACTGAGCTTCGGTTTCCTCCTCTGTAAAGTGGGAATACACAATATTTAACGTAATTGGATTGCTACAGATATTAAAGAAAGCATGAAAGCACCCAGGATGGTGACTGGCAGTGTAGCTGTTGCATAATAGTTGTGGCAAGAGGGCCAGCGATGGCAAAAGCCACTTACCTGACAGTTACCAATCACTTTCAAAGTTCCTAGCAAATGAAATGCACACCCCCCCAAGACTAATCATTCGTCCATGTGCTTAGTTATCCATTTAATGCTTCACTCCGTCATGACCGGTTATACCCAAGATTCTGTGCTATTTACTATCAGAAACAAGACTCATTTGCTGAGTAATCTGTCCCGTGAAGTGGCGCTAAGATAACCACCGTGGCTGGAAATACAACTGTCCCAATTCCTCACCCTCACTGTTAGCACAGCCTTAGTTCACAGAACTCCTCTGGTAAAAGCCAGTGCACACGCCAGGCCCTTGACTTTGGACCTGGCTATCCAACTTGCCTTGGGCAGAAGGGTAATGGGACCCTGACTGGGACTGTGCATGTGCAGGTTTGCACTCTGACACAACCAGGGAAAGAGCCACTCCTGCCGCCCTCCAGCCTCAGAACAAATCCACGAGGAGAGAAAGCCACGCAGCTGACCATCAGACTGCAGTGGGGAGGAGGCCCATGGCCCAGCCTAGGCAGAGTCCCCTCAGCTTGCCTTCCTGGGAACACGGACAGTGCTTATTGCCAGACCCTGGCCAAGCCCACCCACGTTCTTGGCTGCCCCGTGAAGAACATCGCCGTGAGTCAAGGAAGGTACAAACGTCCTCTGGAGAATTCAAAGAATCAGATGCTCTCATTCGGGAGTTAAATATAAAACACATTTAGATGATGGCACTGGGAAAAGCTAGTTTAATTTGGGGAACAGAGAGAGAAGTGCAAGGCATCATGCACTTTGTTCTGATCTACACCGAGCCTAAGCGCCACCCTCCGCCCACTCCACCACTGCCCTTGATGGTGCTGGCTGCAAGGTTTGCCTCTCCAGCACAGGGGGTGGGGGATTATGGAACTGCCGTGGAATGTTCTTAAATGCAGCTTTGGCGTGTGCTCTGAGCTCTCGCAGTTGGTTCATACCAACCCAACCACCTTTACTTTTCCATCTCAGTGTTGGGGTTCACTGGGCAACCAACCTGCCAGAGGAACCATCACAGGCCCCCAGAACTGTAGGGTGAGGCGAGGGCACCAGCGGCCAAGTGGAGAAGGGCAGAAGGCAGAGACAGAGACAGAGACAGAGCCACGGGCCGTTCCTCGCCGCCCCAGGCTGCCAGCCCGAGTAGGGAAAACACCTTGCTGGGTGGTAAGTGCCTGGCGTGGGCATTCCTGGAGATCCATGGGGTCTCCCTTCCCTTTCCTGGAGACGAGCAGCGCTCGGGATACTACCAAGGGCTATTAGGTTGGGATGACGTAACTGCCACTTAGTCATTCCTGTGGGTCCAGGAAAGAGTGGTTGACCCCCAAGTGCTTCAAGAATCCTCCCTCCGGAATTGGAAATGTAGAATTTGGAGAACAGAGACCGGGGCGCCTTACCCCCTGGTCACGCTCTGTCACTGCCCTCGAGCCAGCTGGGGTTCCTCAATCCCAGCTCTGTGGCACTGGGGGGGTCAGGCAGTTCTGGGTTTGGGTCGCAGGCCTTGTGACAGGCTGGTCAGCATCCCTCCTCACTGGCCTGCACCTCCAGATGCCACGGGCAAGCGGCCTCCCAAGCGTGACCGTCAGGAGCCCCAGGCACTGCCAGCGTCCTAGGGAGGGGACTGCCCCTGCTGACCCCAGGGCTGTCCTGCTTCTTGCTTTTATCTCTGAACCTATGTCCTCAACTCGTTCTTCAATTCACTGAGATAGACGCTTCTGCATCCTTAAAATAAATCCCTTTTTAAAACTCGGTTGCCTAGAATTGGTTTCCATTATAAGCAGCCCAAGAACCCGGCGTCGGGTGATGAACATTCAGCAAATACTGCCAGCGAGCACACTCGTCATCCGCAGACCCATCGGGAAGCCAGTCAGGAGACAGTGAGGGGGGCGCCTGTCCCACCAATACAGGGGTCACCCCAGGTCTTACCATCACCCACAAACTGGAGCAGGGCTAGGTCAATCTGCCTCTTCCAAGGGGAACCCTTCTGGAGGGCGATCCCATAGCCAGTGGTGGCGAAGATGTAGCCGCTCCCAATGGTCACCAGCTTGCAGCCCTCGTCCCTCCCGGCCTTGTAGTTCAGGACGGCCGCGTCGTAGATGAAGGCGTCCAGTTTCCTGCAAGACAGAGCCAGGGTCAGGGGTGGTGGGGGGCAGCCCAGGGCCCAGCTCGGGAGCCTGACCCGACCTCGCAGGCTGGAGACGGTGACTCACAGCCGCTCCATCCCCTTGTCGTGAAAGGATCTATTTTTAATGAAGAGAGAAAAGCTGGAACCTTTTCTCTCCAAGTTACAAGAGGCAGCTAAATAAAGACACGAAGAATCCTATGCCCAAGTGAGTAAACACAGTTTGCTGATTCGCAAAGTGTTGTCCTTAGCGCTCTGACAGCGGGGACGGCGGCCCAGTTAGGGAGGTTTGCACTGGGGCCAGCTCACCTCTTAAGGGACAGGAGAGCCTGGTGGTTGGGGGCAGGAAGGGCATGGGGCGCAGGGGGAGGGGCAGCTTCCCCCCCAGAGAGACAGGTTCACAGCTTAGTTACAGCACAGCCAGGTAATACCTACTGAATTTCAGAAACCCTGTCTAGATTTTCTATGTACGCAACACTGAGAACGAAAATAAAATTTAAATTTCCCATAATTCCACAACTTGGAGGCAAATCCTGAATATATAGGTGGATGATCTTCCAATTTTTCCCGTTCATGCACCCACACACGTCTGTATGCCCAATGATGTATGTGCACATCCATCTGTGAACGCAGGGGCTGGCGAGCTTTTTCTGTAAAGGCAGGACGGCAAGTTGCTCAGATGCTGTGGGTCATCCAGACCACTGCGGCAGCTACTTAGCTCTGCTGGTGCAGCCTGCCTTGGGGCGAACTGTGCCCCCCCCCTGCGCCCCCCAACTGATATGCAGAAGTCCTAACTGCCAGGACTTCAGCACATGACCTTACTCGGAGATCGGGAGTCTGCAGATGTAGTGAGTGAGTGAGTGGGTAGGTGGGCGCAGGTCCTGTGGCCGGTGGAGGCTGAGTTCAGCTGCCACCAGCTGACACAGCCAGAGCTGGGAGAAGCCTGGGGCCACCTTTCCCCAGCACCCTCAGACACCTGCAGACACCTGCCCGGCCTGCGGACACCTTGACCTCAGGCCTCCAGCCTCCAGACCTGGGAGGTCAGACTTTGCCTCTCAGTCTGTGGCTCTTGACGACGGCAGCCCAAGGGGGCCAATCTGTGGGAGGCTTATCAGAGCCTGCCTCTGATAAGACATAAACGGGCAGGCTCGGTTCCGATAATCTCTGTGCCAATAAAGAACCACAAAACCAGACTGGCCCACGTGCTGTGGCTCGCAACCACATCGGCTCTCATAGCTCCCCAATCAGATGCCACCACAGAGTGGCCACATCTCCACATCCACAATCACAGTGCTTTTCCTTCTTGACGTATTTCCTTCACTGAGGTGGCACACCCACAAGGAAGCTTCACGCGCTGAACGTCCCTGCCATCTCCTTGAAGGTCACAACCTGGAATAGCCTCCGACCTCAGAAGCCCTCTGCACACCTCTCGTCAGCACCCTCCTGGCCCACCGGGCCTAAGTGACCACCAGACCCCTCATCACGGCCGCTGCAGGGCTTCTGGGCTTTAAAGTTATTTGAGAAGACAGAGTTGGTCACCCTTGGCCGTGGAGATGGATGTCACCTCTCTAGAACAGGGGAGAAGCCTAAATCGAAGGTTACTAACTTCCTGGCACTTTCTAGACTTCACTGCCTCTTTCTCTAGCAAGAAAACATAAGACAGTGAAGCAAAGAAAAATAAAAATGGCAGGGAGAGGATGTAAACGCCACATCCATTCCGGGACAGCTGCTGAAGGGCTCCCTGTGGGCACAGAGCTATTTGGGGGCTACAGCTGCATTCTTCATTTTAATTGTTTGCTCCATAATGGCTAGAGATGGGGGGGGGGAATGTTGCAAGGTTTGTTTCACAGAGACTAAAGCTTCTCTCCCTGGGCTGCAGGAGCTGAGACATGGGTGGCTACTCAGAGAGGATCAGAGGGGATCAGATCACCCCAGCGGATCGGAAAACCTGGGCATTGATGTACGGACACCTCCAGTGCTGACAGCTCGAGCAGAAACAGCCTCTCTGGAGCAGCAGGCTGAGGCTCCCGAAACACAGATGCAGCTTCGAGAAGGTCGAGAGGGCCTGGTGTGTGACCGCAGGGGAGGGGTCCCGGGGAGGGCGCGGGCCCCGTCTAGACTGGGACGAGGCAGGCAACCACCTCCTTCTGGATTGCTGGCCCCCTGTGTGGGAGGAGGCTGAGGCTGACGCTGGGACCTGACAAGCTCAGGCCACCGTGGCCTCTGTGCTCCTGATGAGTTTGTGGGGCTGGTCTCCCCTAAAGGGCAGGCAGGCTTTTCACCTTGATGCTGGAATGAGAGGTCAACCGAGGCCCAGGAGCCCCGGGGGGTCTGTCCCCATCGCTCGAAGGAGACTGACTATTTAAAGACCAGTGAGGGACAAGCTGTTCTCTGGGCTGAGTCGTTCGTTGTTCGTTCTTTCTTTCTTTCTTTCTTTTTTTTTTTTTTTTAAGATTTATTTATTTATTCATACAGAACTGGGGTGCAAGCCAGAGGTGCAGAGATGGTGAGAAGCTTCACCAGAGTCAGGGCGGGGAGGAGAAGGGGCTGTCTGATGAGGTACACTGCTGAGGGGAGCAGCGGGCGGGTCAGGAGAGGTCTGCCGCGCCCTGTGGGTCACCTTCAGGGCGGGTATTGAACTCACGCTGAAGTGGCTTTAGCTTCTAGTGCTGTGCTTTAACCCGCTGTGCCACCAGGGAGGGCCTGGTTTGCTCTTTCTTAACCCAGGGACGCCTGCCCTCTTCCTAACTGGGGAGCCGCTGCTGCCCCCTCCTAGGACCTGGAAGAGTATCCGGTGTGGTGGTGTCTCATCGGGGGGCGGGTTCAGCCCTGGGGCATCCACTTTCCTGTCAGAGTGAGGATACCCCTCGCCTGTGGTGTCGTCAAGTCTCTCTTTCTCCTTGACGCCCCTAAGTGGGGCTAAGCGGTCCCCTTTGCTGTGCTTTAGCAGGTACACGCCTGTCAGTTATCAGCTTTGGACTTTGCTCCTGCTTGTCTCTCTGGTGTCCATTTGCTCCTGGTGCAGACTCGGGAGAACCCCGTCGGGGCAGAGGGCAGGAGGGCCCGCGGCTACCAAGGTTGCCATGGAGATGCTGAGACCCCGGGGCTTAATTAAGACTTTCGAAGCCTCCCCACATCTCTCCTCTGCATCCCCCCCCCCACAAAGTAAACATCAGTACACGTGTGCACACGGGGGGGGGGCATCCCCAGGTCGCGGCAAGGGGCAGCCAGCGCCTGGTGGAACTGTCCCCAGCGGACACACGTGCGCTCTGGGACGGAAATCTGACGACCCGGAGGCCAACCCAGAGCGGTCCCACAGCTCTTCACATCAGTGTTTTACAAACAGGTTTCAAGACGATGCTCCTGTGTCACACGGACACACTGCCGCCAGTGTGACAGGGGGGTCCCTAGGAAAAGGGGAAGTTCCAGGTTCCCTGCCCCACCCATGAGGGTGGAGCTGAGCAGAGAAAAAGGAGAAGAGAAGGAAGCAGGAGAGAGAAGAAGAGAAGGAAGCAGGATGGAGCCAGAAGGAGACCCGAGGAAGCCACATGGAGCAGCGAGCGTGTGATGAAGAAGCTGTGCTTGTTTCCTGACTCTGGGCTGGCTAAGGCAGATGTGGGTGAGAGACCTGCAGGGAGGTGACTATGGCCGTGTTTATATGGATTTTGATTTTGCTCTTTTCCTCCCAGGTTTGTCTGGCCATTTCTGACCCTTTTCCATGGGTCCCGGCCAGAAGGTGCTTCAGTCTAGTGGCAGCTTTCGGGCCTCGCTCTGGGCCAGTCCCTTTTGGGTGGACTTTTTTGCCCATGAGGGGATGGGAACTTCAGATGATTGATTTAGAAATTATATTCTTTGTCTTCTGTATTGTACACTCACTGTATTAAAGTCCTTTTCATTAAAGTCTTCTATGTTTTGACTTGATGTGGTGGATGGCTGAACCCACGTAGAACAGGCAGGTTTGGGGCTTCAGAGGTGCCCATCTCCCCCTGTCCTTTAACAGATTTGGGGTGCCCTATTACAACAGAAGGAAACTGAGGTGATGGGGGCGGAGGGCGGGGCGTAACTCCCGGCTGAGCCCCTATGAGCCTTGCAGGGTAAATGGAGGCAACTCTGTCTCTTCCTGATGAAATTCACAGCGGGGGGCGGGGGGAGGTTGAGGGAGGCCATGTCAGGCCCAGTGCTATGAACAGGAAGGGGCCAGGAGGAGAACTATCAGCTTTGAAGGTTGGTGGGTTGGTGAATGTCTCTGTCTCTTCCCACGGCTGCTTGGCTACTTGAGGGTCACCAAGAGCATGTGGGGGGGCTGGAGCCCAGGTCGCAGAGCAGAATGATCTATAGGCCGCTGGTAATCGGCAGCTTGGGGGGTGGAACAACGCAGAGACTAAAAGCTGGCCCTGGAGGCCAGCCCAGATGTCAGCTGGGTGCTTGAGGGCGCACAGGCAAGGACACCCCAGTAGGCTGCTCCATGTAACGTCCTTGCTCCCCCTTTGTCCCTTCGTCCCCCCGGCTCCTGCCCTGCTCACAGGGCTGAGTCTGAGGACGGTGGTGGAGACAGAACCCTAAATCATCCCTCACACCCCACCCTGCCACTTCCGCTCCCTGCAGAAGGATGATCTCGTCTCCAAATATCCAGCCCAAAGCGGACGCCGTGCTGGTCTGTGCGGGCGGCAGGAAGCTGCATGGAGACTGATCCCCTCTCCCTGCCACTATGGCCCTCCAGGAAAGCGAGTGACTTAAACTGGCAGCAATTCAGATGAGAGGGGGAAATGAGACCTCCTCTCTACATATTTGCAGAAGTAAGGGCCCTGTCACCGTGCCCAGCCACTTGAGCCCAGCGGTTTCCTGCCAGGCGCGCCGACAGCTTAGAGCTGCTGCAGCTTCCAAGATGGCAGATCGGACCCTCTTCCCGGCGTCACCTGCACGGATCCCAGAAAGTTCAGCGCCGAGGCCTGTGGGGCTTGTCAGCAAATGTAATTCCCCTCCACAGAGGGA